GAGTAACAGCATTGATTCAGCTTAAAACCAAGAACTGACATTTACATCTATATTACTTTTAATTTTCATCCAATATGCTAAAGCTAATTTAATTCTCCTCATTTCAAGTGGAGTTCCCCCACTTTCAATTAAGAGAGCATTAATAGGTGTTGTTTTTATTGCTCCTGTACATATTCGTAAAGCCCTACACTGTAATCTTTCTATTTTTTGTAATGATGTTTTAGCTGCTGCTCCATATATAATGCTGCCATAATCTATTATTGCTCTCATTAGAGCCCTGTATATGCTTAATAATGACTGTCTATCTGCCCCCCAATTGTTTCCAGCCACAGCCTTTAATATATTAATAACTTTTTTACATTTGGTTTCTAAGTTATCTATATGTGTTTTCCATGAGTAAGAACTGTCCAACCATAAACCTAGATATTTATATTCTGTTACTCTTTCTAAAGTCTGTCCATATAATGTTATTGTTTCTATATTAATATTTCTCTTCTTTGTGACAACCATATAGCAAGATTTGGTTCATCCGGGTTCTTCTTCTTCTTTGTTTTTTTATTTTATTTAATTTTTTTCATTACTGCCACCTAGTGGATTTTTATGACCTAATTCTTAAATTCTTCAACTTTGCTTGAAAAACGAAAAATCTTTTTCTCCACTTCATTATTAAACTGTGCCCCGATATCATTAAACATCAGCCCTTCAGTAAAACCCAATTATAATTCTAAAGATTTCTTTGAATATCATACTTAATACACACAAAAAACTACAAAAAACACACAAAAGCAACATGTTATATGTTATTGTGCTATTACATCCACTACAGCAGGGATAACCAATTAAAAATCAGCAAGGTCCGAATAAAGAAAACCATCAACCAGTAAAGGTCTCTAGACATTTTTAATTATAATCTGTTTCTTTAAACAGAAATGAACATTTAGATAAAATGAGGTGTTTATACATTACGTCCATGATATACATTGAATTTTAAAATAAAAATAATAGAACATTTTTCCATTTTAAAATCTAAAGTGTTTTTTGAAGTTAGAGAACAATAATTGTTCAGTTTTGTATATAAACATTTTCCTGATTCACTT